CCCCCCCTGCTTTCGGGGAAGGTGCGGTAGTCCCGAAATAGTTCACGCAGACACTTTTCACGCGACCGAGGTTCACGCACACCCTCCCCTGCTTTCGGGCCGGCCCGAATCTATCTTATTTGCTATTTCAATAGTTTGCATACTGCTAATAGCATATTCACATAAAACCAGTTCACAACCTTACTATTTACCCTAAAATTTACAAACATGAAGTTTTCCGAATATCTGGTTATTTCTATTATCATATTTTTACCTTTAATACTCAATTTTCCAGACTCTTATTTAGTTTTCATACTCTTTACCTCATTCACAACCTATATCATCATTTTGAACGATCCCGCAGGGGATCCGAATGACACAGTCACACTTTTTTATTACACTCTTACACTATTTACACCTACTAGCTAGGGACACTCACTTGAGAACATCACCGAACGAGGTGCGACACTAACTACACTTAATACACCCGCGCGTTACGAACGAGCGTGCGAGACGAGCCAGTGTAGGCTCTACACCCAATGTACACTTTAGCAGCACTTTTGGTGCACATTTTACTTTATTCATCGTATAGTCGACAGTTTCAATAACAATTATGTTTCGTTAACAAAGAAGAGCCAAATGGAGTCATTCCAGGCGATTATACATATATGATTTGATACATTTTACAGTAATTATGCTGATTTTAGTTTACACTTTGCTACACTTTTACGTTATTTTTACACTTTTCTATGGCAACGAGCCAATTTGATATTATATTCATAAATTTGATACTCTTTTAACATTCCCTGTCAATTTAAAGTTTAATTATTAATTCTACATGCGTGCGATAGATTTAAGTCGCTTATATTACACTTACCTTTGATATACTTACCGTCCCTAAGAGCAAAAAGTCGACTTTAAGTCGACTTGAAGTCGACTTCTACCGATACTGACTTGGCAGAAAGTCGACTTTTTTAAGGACGAAAGTCGACTTGAAGTCGACTTGAAGTCGGCGAATGTCTCAAAAAACGCCGACTAAAAGTCGACTTCTTGTCATGACGGAAAGTCGACTTTTAGTCGGCGTTTTTTGACACATTCGCCGACTTCAAGTCGACTTTCGTCCTTAAAAAGGTCGACTTTTCTGCCAAGTCAGTTTCGGTAGAAGTCGACTTCCCGTCATGACGGAAAGTCGACTTCCCGCCAACTTTTAAAGTCGATAAAATAAACCGCCGCCGCGTACGTCTGGAGGTCGGTTGTGTATCTTGAAATGAGGTGAAAATGACAAAAGTTAACAGATTTTATTAGATTCTGATAAATAAAATCGTAGATACGCTAATGAATTTTCTCACTTTTGTAATTTTTACCTCATTATTTCAAGATACACAATCGACCCTTTGCTGGAAGGCTAAAACTGATGCATTTCGATTTTTTTTCATATATAAAATAATTTAATTATCTAAAAAACTGTATAATTACAATCCTAATGTTTTATTCTTAATTACAAAGGCGGCTACTGTGTGCCGTCATATCTGTGCCACTTCTGCGTGCGCAGATTTCGGCAGCCACTTCTTGTAAGCTGACAACAGAACTAAAATTATAAATATATAATATCCACAGACTTTTATACTAGACCATTAACATCTATGGACGCACTGCCGAAAAGCTGATGCGAGTGCGAGGTGCAAGTGTTAGTGAAGGGTGCGGCCATATTGAATTAACAATAAGTCACTATCGGGTGTTCAGTTGCTCATGATGTGCGTTTATCTGCATTCGTTATTACAGTACATAACGAAGTAGGCGAATGTTTTTGTGTTAAATATTGGTACATGTTATCAATAAGTTTGTAAGTCATGCCTTCAACGTGTAGCTACTTGAATGCCGAAATCGAACCACTACTCCTGTAGTATTAAACCCTTTCTTTTGGACATTTTGTATATGCCAGACTATTGTATAGAAATTTTGTATAAAACTACTTGTATAGAATCTGTAGTATAGCATATCTTGACTAAAATCAACATGGCGGCAAGCATCACGGCCGAGATGCCTGTCAGCGGTCTAGTATTGTATAGAAGTCTACTCGATGATAATATCTAAATATTATTTTATAAATTAAAATCTCACATTTTTTATCCAAACCCCAGATTTCTAGCAGTTTGTATTTGGACACGACTCCCTGCGACTGCAACGTTTGTACTATTGCTTGAGTGCGTGGTATCAACCTGAAAAAATCGTATTGAATTGATGTAATCTATTCGATGAATCAACGTGAAATCGAAAGGAGATAGAATAACGATTTACCTGGCCCATGACTTGGTGATGCTCCCAGGTGTCGTCAGCAACGACGGAACAAATCGTTTCAGCTTAGGGTACACTTGACCCTCCAAGAAGAAATACGCGAACCACTTTACACCGTCCACAGATGCTCTATATGCATCGATGGTAGTCCCCATCCGGCCTTTCCAAATGTACCAGACACGCGGCAAATGATCTTCCCGGTTCCTTGATTATATCTATAAATGAGAATAATATTCGAACATAATGAAGATTAATATCTTTATAAATAAATAGGGAAAACATTATAAAGCAACAATTGTGATAAAAATACCTTGGCGGTGGATCAACCAATGATTCACTAAGATGGCATAGCGTGGAAGCGAATTTCGGCAATCATTCGGGTTCTATCGCCGTGACACCTCGCATATACATCTTATTCGTTTCGTACACCTCTTTATAAACCACCTATTCCGGACTGATTTTCCGTAGAACGCACGAAGAATGCATGAACCAGGTTCCTCCATTTCTGATGGTGTTCTGAAAGATGGTTTAGAATAGAGAGGTCGCATTCAATAGGTCTTAATTATCGATGATAATTAATAACACACCATACCTAACCTCTAAAGCATATTTCCACTTGGCCTTATCCTGATCCTCTTTTAGATCCGCCATACCTGCAAGAACTATCTGGCGCAGCAGTTTCGCTTCCATGTCGGTTGGTAACGGCATTCTGTAACAATTCTTGTTGTAGACAATGTAGACAACCGTTTCAAACATATTGCAACATACATACAGTCAAATTCCAGTATTTTGATCTAATCGAGGAAGTCAACGGGAAGACAATGATGACGACGACGACGACGTTTCGTGGCGGTGGTTGATAGCGCGGCGCTTTTCGACGTCTTATCGTGTCCTGTCTCGCGGCATGTATTCCTTGCACTCGCGTAAACATTAATTTTCTCCTCCAGCCTTCTCGAGATTCGCCGCCATATTGATGACGCGCCGCTTGACTGCTTTCCGTCTTTTTATAGTCGACTATTTAGAAGTCGACTTTTAGTCGACTTTCCGCCATTTTTAGAAGTCGACTAGAAGTCGACTAGAAGTCGACTTATAAAATTTGACGGAAAATTGACTTTTATAAGTCGACTATTTAGAAGTCGATTTTTAGTCGACATTCCGCCATTTTTAGAAGTCGACTAGAAGTCGACTTTTAGTCGACTTTTCGCCATTTTTAGAAGTCGACTTATAAAAGTCAACTTTCCGTTGACTTTTAGAAGTCGACTAAAAGTCGACTTTCCGCCATTTTTAGAAGTCGACTAGAAGTCGACTTATAAAAGTCAACTTTTCGTTGACTTTTATAAGTCGACTATTTAAAAGTCGACTTTTAGTCGACTTTCCGCCATTTTTAGAAGTCGCCTATTTAGAAGTCGACTTTTAGTCGACTTTCTGTCATTTTTAGAAGCCGACTAGAAGTCGACTTATAAAAGTCGACTTACCGTCGACTTTCCGTCAACCGTGCTCTTAGGGGTTGATCACCGCCGGTGACGAAATGAGACGACTCCTTGAATGATCCGGGATACCTGAAAAAAAAAGAGAAATTAATAATTGCGATAATCGCATACTTACCTAGTTTTATGGGGATTCGTCAAATGACGTTCTTTTGAAAGAGTCACTTGGTGCAAGCCTAGTGACTCTCCGTTCGCTTACGCGAAATTCGCGGTGCAGCGGCGCGATTGGTTCACGCATGAGCGATAGCCAATTCGCGTCTTTGCACTTTGAGAGTAGCATCTCACGAAAAATGTAGATGCCGAGCCATCCCAGTAAACAAAAGGTCCTCTTTAAGTGCTCTTTAAGATTACTTTTGAAAGATAAAAGATGACTTTCAAAATATCCAAAAGAGGACTTTAAGTGTAACTAAAAGATGTCCAATGTCCATCTCAAAAGTGGTCTTTCAGATATCCTAATGAGCACTTTTGATTTTTGAAACTTCTTTCGAAAGTTATCTAAAAGTCAACATTAAGAGAACTAAAAGAGACCTCTAGGTTGTCCTTCGTAGGTTATCCTTCATATAGGTTAGGTTAGGGTTAGGTTCAATTAATTTTTATAATTTTTAGAAAAAATCGAATAAAACAGGAAGAAATGAAACAGAATTAGAATAAAAAATTGTATAAAACAGAAAGATGTATTCTGTTTTAAACAATTAGTAAATCCAATTCTGTCGCATTTCTTCCTGATTTATTCAACTCTTGTTTATTAGCAAAAATAAACAGTCATTATATGTAAATACATTAATTTTATAAAATCTAAAATTTAAAAGAACTTGTTTTATAAACTTATAAACAGAACGTTTTAATAAAATAATTACGTAAAAGTCTTACGATTAATTAATTATATAAGTCTTACGACATATCACATTTTGACAGTGAAGTAACATTGGTCGCGTTCAGAAGCACAACCGCTCATTCCTTTAAAACTAAAAATTTACGTCAATTCGATGCAAGAGCCCAGTGAGCGATTATACTTCTAAATGCGCCCATTGATAGAAGTTGTTCGGCGTATCGCCTTGTAAATAGCATAGTTACTTCATGTCCATGTATTCATGTATCGTTTATACTTAGTTGCATAAGTCGTTTGTAATTCTCGCGCGAAACGTCGGCGGATCGCGATCAGCCAAATCATGCGACTCACCTGTCGGTGCTGCCATCGCCCATCCGCCGACGGTATCCACCCCCCCGGAAAGGGAACAACTACTCGCCGCAGCGACATGTTCCAGGACCGCGGGGACAGAGTATTCGCAATTCAGCCGTCCTACGGCACACACATTTTGGCCAGCCGTCTTGCGGCATACAAGCATCGTCAAATAGTCGGAGAGGACACACCTCTCAGCAGAAGCATTCGCAAGTCAGCCGTCTTACGGCAAACACACGTTTTTGGACAGCCGCCGTGCGGCACACACACATACATATTCTAAGAGCCGTCTTACGGCACACATTCGCCGGGCAGAACGAATCTCGAGATCGCCTTTGCCGCCTTGCTCAACCGGGAGTGCGCACGTCTCCAACTGCCTTTTCCTGCCTGCTCTATCGCTTGTTCTCCACCGTTTTGCTTGCTTGCACGAGTTTTGCCACCGCATGCCGAAAGAGACCCACGGAGCGGCCAAGTTCAAGGGACAGGACGAGGATTGACGGAATCACGGGGACGACGGCCGACACGGTGAGTCGCTTCGCTTAATATTTCGTTGCATGCGTTTCTGCTTTCGCGTTAAACATTTGATAGTCGTGAGGGGAAAGCGACAACCCCCCTCTGGTCCTTCGAGTATCGCAAATCTTGCCTCCGGGGCGAAACTATCCCCGTTCAGAAGTACAAAATTGCAACTTAAAATATTATATTATCTAATGATCTAGATATCTTTGTACTTTGTTAATATATGAACTATTAATTTGGTTATTCTTTTTTTAACTTGATTATGCTTGGTTAAATAATCGTCGTTCTTCCTCAATTTCTTTTTGGCGATGTTCTTCATCCTTTCGAGCTTGTTCTTCTTTAAGCTTTATGCGGTGTGACGTTGCGGCTCGCCGTACCGTCGCGGCGCCCCGCCGCCGTCATAAGGCGCGGAATTTCGCGCCCAGGAACGGACCAGGGAGACAACGACGAGATCTCCAGGGGTCGTATTTAATCGCGTTTCCGCATTTTGATTACTTTTTTTGTTTTTTTATGCAATATAATACGCGTGGCACCTCACCCACACCACGGCAAATCTTCGAGGGAGTATTTGGCGAAGGAAATCAAGGACGATCGATAACCAAGGAGGGGTGGCAAACGCGGAAACAGCAGAGATCGCGGGCTGGCGAGAGCAATGCGGCAGGCGGGCGGCACGTGCGGCAGCGACGGACGAGGCCGCCGATAGCGGGGCCCCAAGCGCTTGGGTAAACACCCGGCTTCAGCAAATGATCTCCACAAAACATCGACCTACGGGGTGACTGATCACCGCCCCAGGGTCAAACCGGAGGCACACCGGCGAGAACCGAGTTCCGTCCGCTGCTAAGGACAGAATTGAGGAGTCGTACGCCGCCGAGGGACCGTGCACGCCCCCGAAGGATCTCGTATCGACAGCCCTGCGCCGGGACACCGCGGGCTTGCAAGCTCGCGCCCGATTGGCTCGCGCGCCCCTCAGGAAGGGGTACCGTATTGATTCCGCAATCGAGCGGGTCTAGCGTTTTCACTCTCTGGTCGTCCGTCGGCGAGAAACTACGTTCTGATTAAGATACGCGATAGCCACCCCGAGTTGGGTATTTCGATAATTGTCTGGCGGATCGAGGATCGTTGGAGAAAGGTGACGGCGAGGAGCCCAGGAGGAGGCATATCACCGGTGAGGTTGCCCGTAAATCGCGATATGTAAAGCCACGACACCGCCCTCCGGTGCACGCTCTCGCTCGGGATAACGCATGTTAAGATCGAGTATAATTTCGTGATCGATAACGAGAGCGAAGGGCCTCGGGATGGTATCGTGGCCGCGGAACCGTGGTACAAGCGTTATGGCGAATCCCTGGAGATCGCGGTAGGCGTTAATGAGTTCGATATCGCGAGTATATTGCGTTGTCCTCGCGACCTTGGTGTACGGCCGCATACGGGCCGGTATTTCGTCAATTGCGTTACCGTTTCTTCGCGTCGGGAAATTCTTGTGTTCGAGCGTTGGTGTTAGCGTATCGATTTTATTGGGATCTCGTTATTACGGGTTAATAATTGTGCTCTCGCGTTGAGAAACGTTGCGTCCGGTATTACTTGCGTACGTCCTATGGCGTCCCTGCTCGCGACCACCTCGAATTCTACGTTGGGATATCGATGGCATTGTTACTCGCGGTCGAATGTCGTTTCCGCCGATTGATTAATTATGTTAGACTCGTACTCTTGTTAAGAAATTACCGGCGTTCGTACGTTTCGTGCGTTTAGATGTTACTTGCGTAGTTCTTCCTGGCGTTTCGTGGTTATTAGCGATATTAAGAGTAGTATTCTTGCGTATTATCATTTTCGACTCGAATTATTAGTTGTTGGAGAATAGCGCCTTCAGCGTGTTTATTAGAGACTCAATTCATCTTCCGTGGGTGTCTCGCGTCCGCATTAATATTATTTCGGTTAGATGAATCCCGACACCCCGCCCCCGGCTATTCCTGGTTTATTTATCGAATTTATCTTGTGTTTGATCGAAGCCGGATGGATAAATGTTATTATCTTCTCGACAACCAGTACTCAATAAATGTTATTTTCTTTGTTTTCTGACTGAGTATGAAATTAACGTGTCACCCCGCCGAATATCGCGCTGCCCTTCATTAACCCCGCCCGTGATTAGGTCAAGCTAGCCGATTCCACGCACCTCCACACTTCGTTTTGCGTCTCGTTTAGGTTTTCGCGATTTCGTGGACGCGAAGGTACGCGTCTGGCGCCCAACATTCGGAATATTTCGTGGAGTATCGGAGGTGCGAGGAAATCACTGGAGAGGCCTACCATCCCGCTCTCCTAAATCCTTTTGATCCGGCACACGTCCCGGAGCGGTCCGGGAGTGCAAAAAGTCGTGACAGCGGTCACCATATTTTTGCAGCCAAAGTTGTATCCGTTTTTTTACTATTTCATCAGTAATGCCATATTTTTTGGTGATGTAAACTAAAAATAAAATTTATATAAATAAAATATAATTGTAGATATGTATATAGAGTTAAAAAATTATTTAAAAATAAAAAAATAGGTGATTCACCACTTATTATTTTAGGAAATTTGCAATTTGAAATCTTGGTCTTGCCAGCTTTTCTGATGATCCAAGTACATTTGCCTGCCAACTCATCAGTCATAATTACCGACAAAATTCTTTTGATAGCTTTGTCAAAAGTATCTCCTCCAACAGCAACCATTTTTGCTTCCTGAAACATGATAAATTATTAAAATTTGTAAATAAAATTATAACATAAATAGGTTAATTATTTTAAATAAATAATTTATTACAAATTGTGATCTCATTTGTCGGTGGAGAGGATTTACTAAGTTTTGGTCGAATAAAAGCAATTGTTCAACTTCTTTTATCGGTAACATTTGAAGTTGATCAAATGTCCCTGCTATTTGTTCATTTTGTGGATTATTGTTATTATTATTTTTTTGTGGCCCATTTTTCATTATCAATAACAGTTGATCCACTTTTTTAAGTAGCATTAAGAGTATTTCTCGGCAAGAAACTGTAATAAAATACTAAATTAGTTATATTTGTTTAATTGATCTTCATGTGTTCAATGGGATAAATTATAAATAACTTTATGGTCTTCTTAAACAATTTGTAAGTTTGTCAATAGCAGGTTAATAAGTAGATTGTTCAAGAAGATCATAATAGTTCTTATTTATAAATATTACAATTATAATTTTTTTAAGAAACAGGTTAAATTTTCAAATTTAATTATATATATTATATATTACAAACGTACTGTAAAAATGTCATATTATATAGATTTGATTCATATAAAATAAAAAATTGTAAATATTGTTTTCATTAATAAATATATAAAACAAAATTTATGTAGAATAACAAATTTATAGAATTGATAGAGTTTACTTACGACAACAATGATCTATGTCGTGATCCAGTTGCTCAAAATCCAGCAAGCTCTGAGTTTCATTTTGATTATTATGAGGAGCACGAAACTCTTCATTCTCATTGTCGTTTTGATAATTGTTATTGTCGTGATGCTCATTTTCACCATCAATGTTTTCATCTTCACGTTCATCAGATCTACCATCTTCAATGTCTTCTGTATTGTAGTGTCCGTCATCGCTTCGTAAAAAATCCTCAGCATCCTGAACATCCTCAGCATCAGAGAATTCTTCTGCTGATTTTTAAAATACGACATTGGTGGCGATAAAAAAAGTATTTAAAAATAAATTATATTATTACAAAATTGAGATGTGCCCTTTACCTGTTTCATTATTCGGTACTATATTATTCAGCACTTGCTGTTGATCATCAATAATCGGAATCTTTCGCAAATCCAATCGTTGACCATTAATAACTATAGTGGAACAGTTTTCTTGTTGAATATCTGTACTGAAAAAGCCGGATGGTAGTCCTTGTACACTGAAAGCTATTTTTAAAAATACATTGGATTAAAGAGATCTATGTAGGCATATATCTAAAGAGAGACCTAGTTTACATTAGCTGTACACTATACACCTTTAATTTGACATTAAATGTACACTATATACACTTATAACTTGACGTATTCCTTAAATTTTTTTTTTAAATTTTCGGATTTTATAGAAATTTAACATTTATCAAAATCCTTTTGCAATACTAGAGAATGATCTTGATTGTTGTTATCTAAATATAACTTTAAAATGAATAGATGTAAGTCTAAAGCGGGGAGCACATACTTCTTCATAACGCATAATGCGTAAGCATAAGAAAATTGATTGGTCTATTTTCTTATGCACATGTGTATGGACCAATCAATTTTCTTATGCTTACGCATTATGCGTTATACAAAAGTGTGTGCTCTCCGCTATAATTTACTAATTCAATACTCGATTATTATCTATAATATCATTGTCAAAACAAAGATCTTTTAAAGCAAAAGAAAACATACAAATAAATTTATAAATAACGTTCTACAGGTTTATAGGTAGTAAAATTGAACATATTCATATCAACAGATTATTTTGAATAGAAATCAAAGATGAAAAAATTGATTTTTATAATTTTAAGGTGTGTATAATAAATCCTTATTATTGAAAATTGTATGCGTCGTCTGGCAACAACGGTCAGTATTCTGAATCCTCTTTAATCAATAAAAGTGCCACTAAAATTGGATTTAGAAGGATTCTTATTAGCTGAAAAGATCTTTTACAGGCATTTTTATCGATAAAAGACGATTCAGAACATAGGCCAATAACTTTTAGAAAGATTTATTTTACGTACCTTTTTCTTGAATTTGTTGATTCGCATGTAAGTCTGGAGTATTTGTTTTATCATTTAACAATCCTCTCTTGTTCAAAAGAGTACTTCTCGAAAAATTGTTTTGGACTATACTGCTATCTGGTTTGTTCAATAAATTATTTGCTAACGCTCCTCTTTTGTCAGCAGGTAGAATTTTCGATGTACCGGTTTTTACTAATGAAGCTTGAGATAAATAAATACCTGTTTTTGCAGGTTTTACTTTTCCACTATTACCAGGTTCTGCAAGTAAACGTTAAATATTAACTTCCAATAATACATTATTATAGGTTTAGATTACAATGTTATACTACAATTACATTAGAACGAATATCAACAGTCACTTATTAAATTGATCAAAACTTACTAGTCCTTTTGAGATGTTCTCTCACGCATGTATTTTCTACTGCACTTTTTCTTTTTGATGACATTGCTAATGATAGTTAATTATATACTTATGCGTATTTTATTAGTGCAAGATCAATCGCTCCGGTCACAGTGACAACAGTACAGTACCTGAAAAAGGTCTCAAAAATATGGATAGACTATTTATATTGTTTTTCTTTGTTGATTTACATAGACTTTGCAAAATTATTAAGATTTGAAATATAAAACGAATGTTTTTTTAAAGATAATTTGTTCTACCAATACAATATTTATATATTTATATTATTTATATATTTATCTTAATAAATATATATATACCTTTATTTTTTAATATAATTGATAACGTTTCATGATTTTCTTCAAAATTGAAAAAGGTCTTATTAAATCAATTTGTAACTGGCGTTATAAGTATTTTATTTATTGTATAAAGGTCTGTGTCTACGATTGTACTAGAACTTGGTCCGAGAGACCTCGGACAGAGAAAGAATTGACTAATCGCAATGGTCAAATGGCCGAATTGTTCAAATGTGATTGGTTAATTCTTTCTCCGTCCAAGATTTCGGACCAAGTTCTAACATCGTGGACACAGGCCTTAACACATTTATTTAATAGACACTTATGTGGAATATGTAAATTATTAAAAATTATTAAAAATTATTAAAAAAATTAAGGTTTGCAATGAAGAAGAGGAAAAATATAAAAGTATCCACACGAGAAGATTCGAAATCCTTTTTTAAAAATAGCTTTAACGGGCCATACTTGAAGTTCATTAGAGAGAGTCTTTGCCTTGCATACATTTATTAAACGAGAATCTATTGGATAATTATCGATACTAACACAATCAATATACTTATGCCCAAGAATAACTGGTCTTTCATTAAAAAAACAGATATTTCTAATTACAATGACGCTTCTATCTGTGAGATAACAACAATTATTTGGTTTTGCGATTGTCAAAACAAAATTAGAAAATTCAATAGTCCTATGAGGTCTTGTACAGCCTTCAAGGAGTTGTTGTACGATGCTTTGTTTCAAAACTGGACGACCTTCAGGAATAGAATGATGTTTGACATTAGTCCCAAGTTGTGATTTCTCATTTATCCTATTCATAATCTGAGTTAAAACATACGAACCTTTCCTTACTAATTTTTTTATAACTTGTAAATGATTTTCAAAATCTATCACACTAAAACCATCTAATGGTCCAAATCGCAAAACATCATCAGGAAGATGGATTAAATTGTGCACATTGTAAACTATATGCTGGTCTCCGTAAAAATTTTTCATACAATCTACATAATAAATTAATAAATCTTTAGCATACTGATTGTTTTTTATGCACTCATTTGCATCATATAGTATACGTAATGCACAATTTAATACATTGAAGTGAAGCATTAATTCATTGGGTATGGTATTTTGAAATACAACTGGTGCTGTATACAAAATAGCCATTCGCAATTCAGTTGCTTTGAATCTATTTAACTCATTTAAAGTACGTGTTTTTCGTACAAATTTGCATGGTACCCATTCTTTAAAAGAAATGTATTGATCATTTATGTTTTTAATTCTTTTCAAAGCATCTTCACTGCTATTACCATATAGGTTTAACAAAAGCTTAAGATGTTTTTTTCCTACTCCTTCATCAAGCAAATGCATCGGATCAAGAGGAACTTGATTTGTCAAACTCATTCCAATACCTTCAAGAGGAAATAATAAATTTTCATACTCATTCGGAACATCTATCCTAAAATTATTATCAGTTCTTAAAGGTGAATCATTTTCCAAAAATACTCGTCTGTATTGTTTTGCCTACTTGTATACATTTACCAAACCTACTATTGTGTGGAGGAAAACACAAAATCTGATTCCTTGCAACTGTATCTGCAGCAAACAACTTAATAAACACCCTATACCGCTGATTATTAAAAATAAAGCCAGTATTACTTAATTCTAAATACTCCATAACTGTAGGCTGTAAAAATAAATTTACATCTTCTGGTTTACGATTGCCATGAAAAATACCTACTGCAAACGGATCACAAGTAGCATAAGGATAATTTACTATTTTTACAAGAATTGGCCATACTTGGCTCGGAGAACTTTTCGAAAGGGGCAAACCATCAATATTTAGATGTAGAGCGATGTCTTTTGGGATTTTGTTTCGCTCAAAACATTTCAACTGATCGAGTAATCCTTTTTTCAAGCCGTAATGTGAATACAAACCTGATCCAACAGAAGAAACTGTAGTTTTTTTTGGAGTATGCAAAAGAGTTCTTGCATCGCTAGGCAGATCATCATGTCCATATTTTTTTAAACCATGAAGCAAATTAGTAAGAGCATTCTGTCTAATTTGGTATGTTATAGCCCAATGATATAAAAAATATCTTAAATCTGATTCTTTGTCTACATTATCTACTCTAAAATCTGGACCTACATTGTTATTACCTAAATCAAAATATTCTAACTCATCATCTGAGACATCAGAATTCCCATTACGGCTTGAAAAATCGCTATCTGAATCATCATTAACGAAACTGAAATCATCACTGTTAAAAGAATAATTATCAAGATCCTCACTACCCTCAGGAATTTGCACATTATTTGCACAATTACTTTCATTTTCTGAAACTAAATTACTACAATAACTGCTAGACTGAAGATTATCAAAACAAAAAACACGAGATAAATCTGCTTGAGGATTACTGTTTGAAGCTACTGATTCTAATACGGTATTTGATTTTAATCTATTTTTATTTGCATAAAGTAATTCATTTATACTATTTTCAAAAGCTTTATCAAGACGTCTTGTTTTTTGCTTATCTGAAAGTTCTAAATATGGTTTTCTCTCCGACATTTTGAAAATAATAAGGCCTACTATACTCAATTAAAATTTTATAGCTTATTTTATTACTAAGTTTATAGCTTATTTATTACTAAATCATATGGATGGTTAAATGAATAAATATACTACCCAGGTAGCACGAACCGTTGCCCAAAAGTAGCAGCAAACATTAACACGTGTCCAAAGAAGTATCGGGAACGTGGTGGGAACGTTGTCGACACCCTATAAAACACGGAAGAGCAATAACATTTTGAAAAACGACTTTGAGTAATTAATATACAATGAAATTCACCTGACAATCAGTGCGCTCGCGCTGCTTGATGATGACTGAGTTTTTCGTTCTTAATTAATGTTTAACTGTAAATTATAATTATAGTACGATTTATAAAAAATGCTTATTAATTATAAAATTATTATAAAATGATAAAACATTAATATAAGTACATTATAAGATTGGTAATTAATAATTATAAAAATTATTTGTACAGGTTAGAATGCATCAATGTGATTATTCATGCACACCATACGCGATGATGCGTTAATAATTGAAATAATTTACTAAAAAATGTACTTACCAAAATATTTATCAAGCACATATATGTATAATATATAGAAAAAACGTTATTCATGAATATAATATGCGATAGCTATTAAGGCGTATGGCATAATAAAAAAGCGCGGGGAAACTGCATTTGTTAACCAACAAAAGTTCTCTAATCGATGTCTTACAGAGATTTCTTGAAGATAACTTACAAAAGATGTCTTTAAAAAGCACTTTTTAACATCTCAAAAAAGTCATTTTGAAAAAGTGCTCCGAAAGTCATCTTTTTTTAACGATAACTTTAGATTGAATCTAAAAGATATCAATTGGACAACTTCTCTAAGTGACAAAAAGTCATCTTTCAAAGGTGCTCTGAAAGTTATCTCTTACATGCAAAGTATCAAAAAGATGTCAATTTTACAGCTTTAGGAAAATCTTAAAAAGCTCTCAAGAAAGATGAGTTTTAAGTCCTCCAAAAAGTCATCTGGTGTTTATTGGGATTGTTAACGACTTGGCATAGAGCATGGTGCACTTTTCTTACAGAAGGAATCGTGTCATTTACACCCGTGGCACGACCGGCCAATAACGTGAGTTCGCGCCCAATTGAACGTGTCGGCGCATGCGTTACGTTGTAGTGGGAGAATGAGACCCGTTCCTCCCGGACAGTTCGTCGCGAGCTTCTGAAGTGGCAACACGTATAACGGTTACCGCATAACAATTCAGACCCGGCCTGCTTATTTCGTTGACTGCTTACGATAACAGCGTGATTGATTAATATTTCGAAGCAGTGAACACGGGACAGTTCGCCGTGAGATTTCGTAGCGTCAACACGTACGTTCCGCATTAACATACGAGTCCGGCCGACTTATCCCGTTGACCGCTAGCGTGATTAGCGTGAATAATTGTAGACAAGATCATAAGCAGCGAGTGCGCGATTCGGGATAAAATTTCCTTCCGCACATTGTGTATTCTTGAGATTGAGATGGCGGTTCGACAACACTCGACGTACTTCCACGCGATCGAGCGAACGCGTCCGTTCCTACACGGAGATTGCTGTAGTAAGGAGAATAATAAATTGTTATTTGTTTATATTAAAACAAAAGTAATTTTAATCGCGATTCCAGTGATTTTCCTATCCGCACATCCGTATATTGCGCATCGCAAAAACAGGGCGTGGCCGACGGCCTTGAACACATCCGCGGCGTAGAAGACGGCAGCCATTGAGCTGGAAGGAAGGAAGGGACCGCGCGAGGACGAGAGGTTTCTGTATTTGAGCCTAAAAATACAGTGGCGACCGTATAATTCAGCCCAAGTAGTAAGTGGCTATATTTTAATTTTCATAGTTCCAGTCGTTGTTCCGGTCACAACCTAACTAACTTAATTGAAGGACGGACTCGCAAGCGCGTCAAAGTTGTTGACATAGGCCGGTATTCATAGTCGGTTCTTAAGACCGTCTTAAGTACGATCTTAAGATGTTATGGACCAATCATAAAGCCATATTAGCATCTTAAGACATTACTTAAGACGGTCTTGAAATAAGAACCGACTATGAATACCGGCCAATAGTATTGTTGCGCCCGTGTTGAGACGCCCGTTGCGCGCGGAACTTCGCTCACGAGGAGCCCGAACTTCGCTCGAATAGCTTCAAGTTGAAGCGCGGTCCTTAACGACCGGTTGTTGTTGATGTATTGATTTTCTCGACGACTGTCAGATCTACGGGGAGACTCCGATCGTTCGGACGTATTCTCCACCTGAAACGCTTGTACAGAATTCTTAATAAACCTGAGTTCCTTTTGTAATAAAATGTTCATCCTCTTTTATTACACGACTCCGGGAGTGCGCGGCGCGAACGCGAGAGATTGTGCGATAGCGAAGCGCAGCGCAACATTTTGGGGGCTCGTCCGGGATCGGACGAGCGAGGATAGGACGAGCGGACGAGCGGACGAGCGGACGAGCGGACGAGCGGAACTAATGGCGAGCACCAACGAGTCATTGACAGCGCCGGCGACGAGAAAGAGAGCGCGGATGGGAACCCCGAGACCGAGCGCTCCACGACTCGAGACAGAGACTGAGATACGACCCGGTTCGAGCGCTCCTCAGCTCTCAGCGGAAGTTGTGACACTGCAGGACATGATGCAAGAGATTCGCCAGATGCGTGAGGAGTACGCGGCGTTGCTGCGACAACGGGAAGCGGAGCCACAGCGACGAAAACTCCCGCTGCTAAGTTCCTTTTCATTTAACGTGACCAGAGATACGGGAGCGCGGGCCGCCACGGTCGCGGAAGTGTCGCGCGGAAATTTCGGTGACGCGAGAGCGCGAGCCGCTGCGGAAGTAACGCCCGGAAATTGTGCGCGTACGGAATTAGGCTTCAAGCTGAAGCCCGTCACGTTCGACGGCTTGACGCCGCTGCGAGAATTCCTCTCCCAATTTCTTCTCATTGCGCGCGCAAATAATTGGGACAATGCGTCAAAATCCGTTGCGCTGGCCGCGAGTTTTAGGGGAAAAGCGCGCACGGTATTAGAGTCTGTCGAAAATTTAGATAACTTATGTTTCGAAGAATTAAAATCGAAATTGGAGTCGCGCTTCGGCGAGGGGGGTTTGTCGCAAAACTTTTATACGCAATTTACGGGTCGAAAGCAGAGGAATGGAGAGGATTTGGCTTCTCTTGGCTCGGATTTAGAAAGACTTTCGCGATTAGCTTACCCCGAGTGTTCTTTTTCGGTTCAAGATAAGATCGTGTGCGCGCAATTTGTTTCTGCGTTATCTGACGGTTTTTTGAGAAAGATTCTCCAGTTGGAGGGAGTAACCTCCTTAAAAACAGCCGTCGAAAGGGCGAAAGCGATAAAAATTATTCAGGGGAATAGTTTTGAAAGAAAGAGGGAATATTTCAGAAAGAATTTTGAGAATGTGGAAGGGAAGGTGGGAGAAGAGAAAGAGGGGGAGGATGGAAAGGACAGCGCGCCTCGAGGGAGTTGCAGGACCAATCAGTGGGAATGTTGGTCCTGCGGAGAAACGAGGCATTTCCGTTCTGAGTGCCCCAATTATGAGAAAAATTAGACTTTTTATTTTCTATAGAAATTTGGTTGTTTTATCGATGTTACTGCGTGTCGTATTTTGTTTTTTTTTCTTCTCTAGAGGAAGTCTACGGTTTGTGAGAAAGCTTGGATCTCGACCTGAGCCACCGCGGCGGAACATCGGCCAAGACTTCTTTGGAAGAAAATTATTAAGAAGATTGTCTCACCCACGGTTCTTTTGAGTTGTGGTTTTCCGTGGGACGTAGGGCAAATGCCGAGACAAGGACTTGGGGAGTCTTTAAGACATTGGGTCCTCAACAGTTCCCCCCCCCCTTGTCTGAAGATTTCGAGGAAGAGCGGCAACGTCGGGGAATGTTCCCGCAGAAGAGGATGGTTCGCCTTGGTGTCGGAGGGGAGGAGTCTGGCCAGCTTTTTCCCAGGAAGCCGAAGGAAGCGAAGCCTACCTCGAGGTGTTTTACGGCGAGGGACCAAGAGAGGGCAGTTCGTTAACCCGTGGCAGCAGCCCGGGGTAGAACAAGGGGCCAGCCTGGTGCCCGAAAGTTGTATAATCGGGGCACTGCCCTTCTGTGGATTATCGGGACGACAATTTAGGAAGAAGGGGGGCAGTGTTACGCCCGTGTTGAGACACCCGTTGCGCGCGGAACTTCGCTCACGAGGAGCCCGAACTTTGCTCGAATAGCTTCAAGTTGAAGCGCGGTCCTTAACGACCGGTTGTTGTTGATGTATTGATTTTCTCGACGATTGTCAGATCTACGGGGAGACTCCGATCGTTCGGACGTATTCTCCACCTGAAACGCTTGTACAGAATTCTTAATAAACCTGAGTTCCTTTTGTAATAAAGTGTTCATCCTCTTTTATTACACGAGTCCGGGAGTGCGCGGCGCGAACGCGAGTGATTGTGCGATAGCGAAGCGCAGCGCAACAGTATTATAGTTAACATTTATAGTTGCACTATGAACGTTATCTCTTCCAGGTTATGTGACAAAGAATTGACCAATCACATCAAGTATTTTTGAACCGTAATGCTGCCATTTTCGAAGAGACATCTTCGGTGGTCAATCATGAATCTTTTCCCCTAGGGTGGAAACGTGAAAAATGAAAAATCTCTCTTTCTATTGATGTTAAATAGAAAGAGATACTATAAAACTTTCCACGTTCCACATTAATACATGATTGACCCCCAGGTAGCAGGATGACGTCTAAACGTGCCTTTTCACGTTGACGCTCAACCGGCTCGACGCTCATTTTCAGTGAGCAAAAATTTTCAGAAATAATATTTTTTATTTATATATATCCATAAAATATTACTACTTGAAGATATTACTTAAAAATAATTAATATTTTACGTATTTCGAAATCCATTATATATTTTACTGGGACGATCAACGACGATTCAGCGTCAACGCTGGATATTAAATAAATTCAACTTTATTTCTTGACGCTGGCGTCAAAGCGAAATCACGTGACCCTAGAAATAATACTTTATATATGTAAAAACAATAACAACAATCTATGTGTATATAAATTTACAGATTTGAGCGTCGTGCGTCAACGTGAAATGGCATTATAAAGACGTTTCAATGACGTTAGAGACGTTATTAATACGTCATTTCACGTCACTCTGCTACCTGAGATGATTCTAATTGGCCAATTCTTACGGTACGTCTTACGTTACTGCTATATGTGAATTTGTGTGTGAAGGCCCTTAGGGCCGGTCTACAATGGGTGTCGTAAGTCGTAAATTGTAAGACTTGACCAATGACAGTCTATTATTCTTTTTG